AACAAATATTGTTGAATGAATAAAAAAGTTAAGTTATATTTCTCTTACTTCCCCAAAGAAATTTAACCATATTATATTAAAACTTGTGAAGGAAGATATTAAGTAAAGCTAAAGGCCATCTGATTCCATCAACATGGCAGACTGAGAACCACTTGCACAAAAACACTGAGAAATTCCATATAAAATGAAACTCAAAATATTTAGCATAAGAATGATTTTACAAAAAAAGAAAGAGAAGTTCCCTGTGCCAGGAACAAAGATGGAACTAAAAGCCATAGAAGCAAGTGTGTGAATTTATACTTCAGAAACTCTGGGATGTTATTGGACCCTGAGATAATGATTGGGTGCCTGAGTTCTAATACAAAGACTGGAGATGAAGTGAAAATTGGGCCTTTGCGAAGCTTCAATTTCAGTGAAATTGAGACTCAAAACAGAGTTCTCCACCTGGGACTGGAATTCTCCTATGAGAGATTAAAACCCTAAGACTGACCTTACAAAGGCATCTGAATTTACCCTTTCAGCAGGAAAATCTAAGCTGAAAAAAGAATAAAGCTTGCTCCCAGATTGCTGATACCCTTGGAAACAAAGCAAAATTCCTCTAAAGGGATGGTTGGTTCCACCAGTAAATACAGAAGGGATTTTTATTAAAGACAAAGCAAAAAACCTCTGTTGGAGAAGAGGCTTCAGTTAAAAGTTATAAAACATAAGTAAATTATCTAATATATGATATAATATAAATCACCATAGTTAGAAAAATTAGCATTCCCCCTAATATTTCAAAGAAAAACCATGTAAAAGACCATTCCTAAATAAATATGTTCAGAATGATTAAAGACTTTTTTTTAAAAAAATGAATAAACTTGTAAAGGACCCATTAAAAAGATAAAAGAAGCAGAAATTTTAGGTGCAACACCAAATAGAACTTGTAGAAATTATAAATGTAATGTTTTAAAATTAAAATACACTGACTAAATAGGGAAGACGGTAGAGTGAGTCAATGTAATTTTCCTATGTTCTTATATGAATACATGACCAGTGTAACTCCACAACATGTACAACCACAAAAATGGGAAATTATACTCCATGTATGTAGGATGTGTCAAAATATATTCTATTTTCATGATTACTAAAAAGAACAAATAAAAACTTTAAAAATACACTAAATGAAAGAGCATTTTAGGCATAATTACTAAGGATGTATCAAAAAGAGACAAAGAAGGCTGGGGTTGTGGCTCAGTGGAATAGCACTTGCCTAGCATATGTAAGGTACTAGGTTTGATCCTCAGCATCACATAAAATAAATAAATAAAATTAAGGTATTTTGTTTATCTACAACTAAAAAAGAGAGAGAGGAAAACATAAGGAAGGCAAATATACATAAAGAATAAAATGAGAAGATCCAAAATATGTTTTAATAGCCATTCTATAAGAAGAGATTAAAGAAAAAACTAAAGAAGCAATACTTGAAGAAATAATGACTAAGAATTTTCCAAAACTGAAGACATTATCCTCTAATTAGGAATCAGAAGGATTCCCAATAAAGAACACCCTCCCTGAATACAGTTTGGTAATAGCTAATAAAACCTGGAGCAATCCCTCTTCAGATATATACCCGAAGAATGTCTCACACATTTATTTGCATGTATTTGCAAGCATATTCACTGAAGCACTGTCTTCAACAGAAAAAAAATTAGAAACTAAACTGTCCATCAACCCAGTATCAGATGAACTATGGATCTTTTTTTTTCTCTTACCAGAGAGAGAAGCTAAAAATAAACCCTAGCTACATATTTATCAATGTCAAGTAAGAACAGTCTCAGAAGGATAGGCACAGTATAATTTATATAAACTTAAAATATACATAGAATAAAACTATATGCATCTAATGTGAATATATATATATATATATATGTATATATATGTGTGTGTAGTAAAAATATAGAAGTAAGGACATATTCACATCAACTTCAGTGTAATGATTGTCTTTGGTGAGAAGCAAAGAGAAGAGAGTAAGCTATAGTTAGTTATATTCATTTTTATTAAGGGGAAATCTGAAGGCAATATGACAAATATTACCAGCAATTTAAATTTGGGTTAGACTTACGATATATTACTTTCTGTGTGTTTTGAAATACTTCATTGATAATAATTTTGGGGATTAAAGCTAGATCGATTAGAACAAGAGCAAAGGAGAAGAGATCTCATAGGTTGTTGATTTTGATGTCAAGAGATAGTCACAGTCAGTATATGGACCTTGGACAAGCCAGTTGGTCCCTAAACCTGTCTCTTTCATCTCAGCCTCCAGGAATAAGTTAGATTTAAATTCACCTCAGAAACTGATTGTCAATCAAGGCAAAAAGGCAAACCCATTGTGTTGTTTTTCAGTTCTTATCACCGGATAAAAGGAAGCACATAAGTTCAGCTGCAATAGATATAATTTTTTCCTGCCACTGAATATTCATGAGTTTTGAGAGAATATTCTCATGGATTTGTTTCATTCCTGTACAGATTGATCTTCCAAGCAAAGGGCATGTTCAAGTAGCAAACAACCTTGGAAGCTAGAGAAAGTATACAGAGACCTAGAGAAGTTCTCTCCAAACACATCACCTGGCACTAAAGACAAAGTCCTCTTCTTCTCTCCTAGACATTTACATTCCAGGGTGATAAAAACTCACACTCGGGGTGAGGGAGAGAGAGAGACAGAGAGACAAAGAGAAGGCTGGGCAGATGTGTCATGAAAAGCTCAGAGTGTTCCCTAGCATGGTGGCAAATGCCTGTAATCCCAGTTACTTGGGAGGCTGAGGCAGGAGGATAGCCAATTTAAGGCCAGGATGGACAACTTAGTGAGACCCTGTCTTAAAATAAAAAATGAGAAGAGCTGAGGATCTAGTTCAGTAGATAGAGCACCCCTGGGTTCAACTCCTAGTACTGAGAAAATATTTAAAAAGTGCTCAGTCTCTTGATTTCAAGGTTCCTTTCTTTTGAAATAACCTGCCTTATGGGAACTGAGTATAGGGAACCAACAAAAAATACTGCTCTGATCCTTTTACCATGAATATCAATCTATGTCCCTGACCTAAGCCTGGTGTGTGTGTGTGTGTGTGTGTGTGTGTGTGTGTGTGTGTGTGTAGCAAGATAATTGATTAGCAAGTAATGGAAAATCTCAGATCCTTGATGGTTCTGAATTAGCAGAGAAGCAAAAAGGAAGACTCTGAATAGCGAAATGGACAGTGTTTTAAAATATGATTTCATATACTAAATACAGAAATATTTTTCCAAAGACATTTCTTATATCAAACCTCTAGAAAATCTATAGGTTTGACAATGCAAGAAAAGAAATAGCAAAGCAAAACATTCAATATGAAGGTGATTTCAATGAGAATTTAAGATAATACAGTTTAGCTTTCTTTTTGATGACCTGAGGATACAGAAATACAGCTTGTAGATCTTAGAGACTCATATGGTTAAAACAAAATATTTTTTTACTTTATTAGATATCAGGTATTATAAGTGAATTTTTTTATAAATGCTGCCCTCAGGCAGTTCATAGCTCACATATCTGATAATTTTTGGAAATGTCAAATTCTTTGATTAAAGAGAGATTCCTACAAAGTAAAATGTTTTTATTATTATTTGTTGATTTGGGCCACTCAGCATTCATTTTATCATCTTTTTGAAACAACCCAGATTTTTATTTGTGGATTTATTCTTTCCATATCAATCTCAGATCATATGATCTGGAAATGGGATGCCAATCCCAAATATAGGGATGAAGCTGGTAATCTGGTCATAAACTAATTAGGGCATCCCATTCTATGGCTTAGAGATGAGCACTGAGACCTAAGTCATTTCTCCTATATAAGTCATTCTCAAAGAATGAACCTGAGGACTTTACTGGGAACATTGGATTAATGACTCTCTTTTCTGCTGTGAAGAAATCTAGAAGGACGTAACCCCAGGAACAGCTGCAAATCATGGAGGAAAATGCCACTCTAAGAATGCAGTCAGCATAGAGCAAGTAGACCCAAGAAATGGAGAGAAAGAGACAAACAGGATCCAAAGGCATCATTTGAGTACCTCGATTGAACCTTGTTTTCTCTCCCTTCAACACAAGAGTTCCAAATGATTCATCCTGGGGTTTAGAGGCCAGACTTGCAAGATTCTAATCCTTTGTAGTAAAAATTTAGGATGCTTTGAATAATGCCCAGACTGAAAAACCCAGAGTTCTGTACTATAAAGTTTAGGAAAAAAAAATAGTTCCTTAAAAGTTTTATGAGCTGTTTTCCTTAACAAAACAAAACAGAGCCCCAATAAAACAATGTAGAAAGGGTGATTCAAAATCTACTTAAATATTGATGGGCTTATCCAAATTATAGTTAAATATACTCAATATATTATATATGTAAAGATTATATTGAAAATACAACAAAATCATGGGGGAAAGAACAAAACAGCCATTTTAAAGATTTGTTGTAGAATTTCTTTTAGGTTTGACAGAAATTGTAATTTGCATCCTTATATTTGGTTGAAATCAATTGAAATGGACCATTTAATAGAGTTAAATAATAAGCTGGGAAAAAAGTCTACATTGCTGGGCTGGGGTTGTGGCTCAGTGGTAAAGCACTTGCCTAGAATGTGTGGGGCACTGAGTTCGATTCTCAGCACCCCATATAAGTAAATAAATGAAATAAAGGCCTATCAGCAACTAAAAAGGTATTTTTGTAAAAGTCCATATTGCTTCCCCTCCTTTTCAGACTTATTTAAACCAGAAAATACACTATATTGAAAAAAAGCAACCATTTATTAGAGTATCCAAGTACATCTGTTTTACATGGAAGACAACAAAATGCTCTACATTCTCATTTTTAAAATATTCCACATTTAAAGCAGTTTAGCTATCTTTCTTTTTAATGACCCGAGGATACAGAAATACAGCTTGTAGATCTTAGAAGTTTCTTTAACAAAGGTCCACATCTTGTGCCAAAGCAGTAGGTGCTTACCTGAATGTTATATACTGGTTGACTTGGTGCATTAACTTCTCTCAGCAGACGACAAGATATGTCCCTTAACTCCAAAATTCTACATGTAAGCTTAGGATGCAGAAGTTTGGCCACTGACTGGGAAGATCTGGATATGTTGTTTAATCCTTGAATTAATGCTCTCCGATTGATCTTGGCTAAAGTGATAGCCATTCTGGATTTTTTCTGCACAGGTTCTCTTTTCTGAAAAATAAGCCTTTAAAAAGTAACTGATATGTGATTTTCTAATGCATTATTAAAATCCACTTCTGGCGGAGACTGAATATATAGCTACATTACACATAATATTGTATATGTATTTAGTATCCAATAATTATATACTCACATACAATACATATACCCCCACACTTAAATATGTATATATTTTTTCCTTAGGAAAAATATCCAGAAATGAAGTAACTAGCTAAAAGATCGATATTTTTCATTTTTCTCTGGGTTTATATCTTTTTTTTTGCATTAATTTCAAAAGTAAACAAGAATCCTTATCCAAACATCAATATTTGAATTATTCAAACAATAATACTTATTCAAAACAGTTATAAATATTTTCCCAGTCCACTTAAATTTTTTAAATTATGAAATGCAGCATACATACAATATATATGTACATGTATAATTTAAAGAAAAATAAAATAAATTTCTGCATGCGAATCAGCAAGTTTAATAAAATTTTACCTCTCAATACTGTGAAAATTCTATCAGTATTCTTATAGAAAAAAACTGTAGCATTACATAATGTAGTTCTTTCTCTGCTCTACCAGTAAGTGAACCATGGGGCAATTACTTACAATGTGGTTAGACTACATTCCAGGCAACAAACAAATATAAGCATTATTCATGTAAGTAGTTTTGTGGGTTATTTTGGCATTTTAGAATATAACTGGAGGGAAAGTACTGGTTAATAAGTACTGGTTAAAAACAAGTAACTCTGGACCTCTAAATATTTGTTCCGCCTAAATATAGAAATACAAAATATTTTAAATAGATTTTTTTGCCCATAACACCATTTTTAATGCCCCTTCTTTTATCCTGAAATAAATGTATTTTTGTTATTTTGTCACTGAAGTTCAGTACTTTTACTACTGCTCAGCATTTGTCAATGGAGATAAACAAAAGTTGTTCTAGCTTCTCAATGAAGATGTATTGCTGTAGTATTTGGTGTTCTGTTGTGATCTGATAAGTTAACTTTACTAAAAATGTCTATTAGCCCACCAGTGGCCTCAGCCGTCCTACTCAAAACCAATAACAGAAAGTGTCATCTAAATTGCGGACTGCAGAAATTCCTACAATCCCAAACCATTTCAAAGGAAAGCAAGCCAAAAAAGCAGTTATATGGCAGGTAGAGCAAGAAAAGTAACATGCAAGTACAATCATTTGACAATATTTTCTACCCTGATTGTGGTTGTGAGCACTCCTGGGAGAGAACCCAAATTGTCTGCAGTATCCAAAGCTCTAGCACATACAGATTCCATTTCTCTTGTGACTTTATACTTTGCTGCACTGACCTCTTCCAACTTCTTCTCAAGGTGGAGCAGCTGGAATTAGTTTGGTCTGATTATAATTTACTTGTGTTTTTTTCTCATTATAATTTACTATCACGCAAAGAAGTCCATATGTGATGGAATATATATGCAGGTCTACTTTTACTAAATAACTTTGTCTACTTGTCCAAGCATCATGCAGTGTTGGAGGACCCCCTTTTTTTTGATACAAGGATTTAACCCAGGGGTACTTTACCATTGAGCTGCATCCCCAGTTCTTTTTATTTTTTATTTTAAGACAGGGTTTCACTGAGTTGCTCAGGGTCTCACTAAATTGCTAAGTTTTGACTTGAACTTGTGATCCTCCTGAGTCTGTCTCCCATGTTGCTGGGATTATAGGCATGCACTGCTGTGCCCAGCTAGGTCCACTCATTTTTGCAGTTGCAAAATGTTAAACACTCTGCAGTTTCCCCATCCGTATTTTCATAAGTTTATTTACAAAATCTTGTGATCTGTATGTGTTGGTCTGGATTAACTGATTTCACACATTTATTTGTATTAGCCAATCTTGATTCATTCCCCCAAACAGTACTCTAGAATGACCCCTCAATCTTCACTTTTTTTACAGTTTCTCTTTAATTTTTTATCTTTGTATAAAAATTAAGTTATTTGTAATTGATAATCTGTTAACCCAACATCTCATGTAGGATTAACCCAACTGACTCGTTATAAATATTATTTTAATACAGATGAACATTATGTTAGTGCCATACTTTGTGTTATCTTCCCCATTTGGTGCCATAAATTCCTGGCTGTCTCTGACAGTCTCAAGCTGATTCTAATGACTATCATCATTGCTTCCCTTACATGCTCATTTGTTTAGTGTGAACACTGTGCTTATCTTTAGGTTTTTAAAAAATACCTTCCTTTTTTTGATGTGTTCCTAGATTTTTTTTTTAAAGAAACAACTGTTACTTTTGAAAATAAAATCTTCCTGACCATCTTTATTTTCCTTGCCACAAAATATGGAATTGAATTTCCCAAGAAGACTTCCATTGATGAAGCATGTTTGGTAGTTCTTCTTGTCTCTGGAGACATGAAGGACACTACAGAGGAACAGCTACTTATATCCTCTAGATGCAGAATGAGATTCCCTGTATATAAAACAGTCACCAATTCAATAGGAATGAAACCAGAGATCATTATATTTTGTGAAATAAGCAAGACACAAAAAGACAAGTACCACATGGTCTCGATCATATATCAATTATTACAAGGTTGATCTTTTAGAAGTTGAGGGTAGAATAGTTACTAGAGGTTGAGGAATAAATGAGGGAGAAGGGATGGGGAAAGTTGAAAATGAGTACTAATAAATAGAAGCAGGAGGTTTTGGCATGCTCGAGTATATTTGGATGACTATAGATAACAAAAAGTTATTGAGTATTTCAAAAAGCTAATAGAAAGAATTTTGAAAGTTTTACCACAAACAAATGATAAATATTTGAGGAGGTAGATATATTAAATCTGCTTTAGACATTCCATAATACATATATATCCAAATATCATATTACTCCAATAATGTATACAATTATTCATAGACCCATTAAAAAATTTATTCTTAAAAAATCACTAATTTATGATGATGATTTCAATTCACTCTTAGGTTGAGTGAGTTACTCAATTAGTTCTATTAGGAAATTGGTTTTTAAAAAAAAAATTTTAGTTGTAGATGGACAAATATCTTTATTTTATTTATTTATTTTTATGTAGTGCCGAGGATCCAACCCAGTGCCTCACACATGTGAGGCAGGCTCTCTACCACTGGGCTACAACTCCAGCCCAGGAAATTGTTTAAATCTAAATGTTGACCAAAAATTAAATTTCTTTTCCCTCTTTTTTGTTTTCTATCACCCTAATCATCCTGAAGTTGATTACAAAGTGTGAAAGTTTAGATGATTTTGGAATTCCCTCCTACTGTACTTCCCCAACCAATGGGAACTCTCCAGGAGTCCTGCAGCAGGCCGAGGTGAACAGCAGGAGTCCAATATCCATATGAATGCAGATCTTAACATAATCATATCATCTCAATGGCTAGCTGGCGTCACCTTTCAACCAAAAGTGCCATGCATCATATTACTTGGCTGTGGCTCTTAGCACTTTCTGTCATCATCATCATCTGAGCACATCACCAAAGGCCAGAAAAGATATTCAAACTCTCCATCACACCTCAGAGATGCATGCACAAAGGTAGCATACCAAAATAAACCTAGCCTCAGTTCATAAGATTGGCTTTAGAATCTTGCTCCAGATCTCTCCATTTGACCTCCACTATTTTAAATATAAACCCTGCTTTTCCTTTTTCTCTTCTTTTTTTTTCTAGAGCCAGGCCCATTTCTTTGTCATCAGCAGTTTTAATGCTGAACTCCGATTTCTATTATCTCAGCGTTTTACTATCCTCCATCTATAAAACCAGCCTGTCAGCAAATCTTATTCAATTCTTTCTCTGAATAGTCCTGGAATTCAACCACTTACCACTCAGAGTACTACACCCAGTCTGTTATACTTAGATACCACCATCATCTCTTCTCCAAATTAGTGAATTAGACTCCTAAATAGTTTCCCTGCTTGCAGCCTTGCCTGTTTTCATTCTTTCAACAATGTATCAGCCAAAGAGATCTAATTAAAACTCAGATCAGATCATACTGCTCAACTGTGTTGATGGCTACTTCTTGAACTCAGTGTAAAAGTCAAAGTACATTCAAACCCCACAAAGTCTGTTACTTCTTTACCTCTGTGGCCTCAACCTCTTTTCCTCTTTCTTTCCTTCCTCACTATTTGTTGAACTTGTCAGGTAGACTTCGTGAAATGAAGATACCAAGTGGAAATATTTCTTCTCAGACCCAGACAAAATTAGAGCCAGGAAGTTATGAAGGGGAACGGTTCATAATTTTCAGTCTGAAATAAGAACTTTTTCAAGGACAAAGGCCCAAGAGAGATTTCTTCTCAATATACACATATCCCATGCTTTGTATGCCTTACACATCTCAAGAGATTTGTGTAACTAAGTTTAACATTAAGACTGAAATAATTCAGAAAGATGCTGTTGACAGGACACTCACCCATCAGTTATGGCTCTGACAACAAATTTACACCAACTCCTGCCTCTGGGCTCCACTACTGAAGAACACTGTATTCAAGTAGCTTGCACAAATCTCTCCTTTTAAGTGCCTTTAAAGTCTTCCTCTTGCCTGGATCTCCTTGAATACCTATATGGTTCTCTATGGCACAGGTACTCCCATTGCCTACTCTGCTATTCCCAAATAAATGTCATTATTCTTTGGAGAAGCTCTCTGATTGTTGTTTAGTTTGATAATTTCTATCTCAGGGACTTTGCACTAGCTATGCCATTTGATTTCTCAAGTGTCCTGGATTTACTCCCTCACTGCCTTTAAATCTTAACTTAAAAATCACTTTCTCACTAGACCCTTCTTGGTTACGCTACCTCAACAATCAATTGTTCATTGGATACCTACTCCCCTATTTTATATCCCTTCTCTGCTATATTATTCTTCTCCCTACATTTACCAATATATAGTATACAGTTTAAGGGCCTGGGGTTGTGACTCAGTGGTAGAGCACTAGCATGTGTGAAGCAACAGGCTCAATCCTCAGCACCACATATAAAATAAAAAGGTCCATCAA